AGGTGGTGTGTGGCGGCAACCATTTTCATTTGCCTGGCACACTCATTCTTCATCTTTCATGACAGAGCCCCAGTCCACTCCGGAGCTTTGAGGTCTGACCCTCACCCTCAAGCCCAAAGGTAGGCAAAAGCCCAGTCCAGGCCCACATCACAGCAATGGGTCTGATGGTTCTGTAACCTAACTCCCAGGATTTTTGCTAGAGTCATGCAGAAAGAAGTAATCTCCACTTCTAAGAGATTGCTACTGTGGAAGACAAGTTAAGCCAGGAGCTGCTGGTGGCCCCACATGTAGAGGGCCATGAGGAGATAAACACAGACTGTGGCAGGCATAGAGTGACACCGGCGCTGAGCCCCAGGACCCAGCCATACCTGAAGCTGCCCCTTCTCAGGACCACATGATAACAAGACCTGTGACTTCCCTTGTTTGCTCCATCCATTGCAAAGTTGGTTTTCTATCACTTAACCTAAATGAGTCTTAAAAAATAAGGAGAGTGAAAAACCATGTGGGAAGCTGAGACCACCCTGGAAAGCTGTGCAGACTGTCAAGTGCAGGGACAAGCTGATGTTTGTGCTCCTCTGACCTGAGGAGAGCCCTGACAACTAGGGAACTGAAAAGTTTCTACAGTCCTGCTTTGGTGTTCTTGGGACCCTCTTCTGCCCTGCAGGCAGTGCCAAGGTAGGATGGGAAGAAGGAAGGCCCTATAAGTAGCAAATGCAACCTCCAGGCACCCCTAGCCCCTACCCCTCCAGTCCCACAGCCTGTCAACACCTGCATATCCCAACCCAGAATCTGAACCAGGCAGAGCTCAGTGTGTGATCTCCCAGGCAGCAGTCTCTTGGGAAAAATGAAACTCGGGCCTCCCCGGTGGTGCAGCGGTTGAGCGCTGGGTAGCGAAGCTGCCCGCGCCAGTTCGATCCCCGGCTGCTCCCCGGCCACCAGAGGAGGGTCCCACATGGCGGGCAGACCTCTCCTGCCGCCCGCTGCTCCCCTCAGCAGTGTGCTTCGGTCCTTCTGCCTGCTCTGTTCCCCGCTCTGGCTCTGGTGAATTCTCTCGCCCTCCCGTGCTTCTGACTGTGCCCAGTGCTTGTATAAATAAATAAAATAATAAATAAAAATAAATCTTAAAAAAAAAAAATAAAGTACATTATAAAAAAAAAAAAAAGAAAAATGAAACTCATTTCAGTCCTTAGGCCTGTGATGGACTTCTCCCTGTGACTCCTAGCAATTGTTAATGCCCACCAATGCTAGTCATAATGGGCACCTGGTCAAGATGACAGCCCAGCAAGGGAGCCACAGCCCCTAAGGCAGCAGCCCTACCTGTCTTTTTTTTTTTTTAAGATTTATTTATTTATTTATTTATTTATTTATTTATTTTTTATTTATTTTTTATTTATACAAGCACTGGGTACAGTCAAAAGCGTGGGAGGTTGAAAGAATTCACCAGAGCCAGAGTGGGGAATAGAACAGGCAGACTGACGAAAATCACTGCTAAGGGCAGCAGTGGGTGTGGCAGGAGAGGTCTGCGCGCCATGTGGGACCCTTGCCAGTGGCAGGGGATCGAACTGGCACTGCAGAAGCTGCAGGCAGCCTCGCAGCCCAGCGCTCAACCGCTGCACCACCAGGGAGGCCCCCTACTTGCCTTCTTTCCCTGAGACCTTGGTCTCTCTGAACCTCAACTATGCAATAGGGGAATCTGCCTCACAGATTTGAGGGAGTTTGACATGACCTGCCCCACATAGCAAGAGAAGGACGTACACAGCCCACTCAGGCTGCAGAATCAAACCAAGCCCTGGAAGCCAAACCCCTCCACTGCCCACCCCTGGAGGCTTCCAGCTCCGAGGCCTGACCAGCCAAAAACACCAGACCAGAGAGGTCCCCAGAAGGAGTGACACTGCAGGGGGAGACAGGGTGCTTCTGTCCCGCTGGAATCCTGGCTGCTATGGAAGGAGCTGCAGCCCAGAGGTCAGCAAGCCTGCTGACCTGAATCCCACTCACACTGATAACAATCCATGCCCGTGATTGAGGAGGTCTCCAGGAGTCAAACAGGAAAGGTAGGACAAGTTTAAAAAAAAAATGCATTGCTTCATTCGTATTCTTTCTGTTGCCATGCAAAAAAAAAAGCAATAAAATGTAGGAGCATGGTCTTGGAGTCAGACACAGACTCCAAGTGTTTGCCTTCAAGTAATGGCTGTGAAGCTTGAGGCAAGCTATCTCAGCTTTTGGAGCTCCAATTTATTCATCTGTAGAATGGGGATGAAATTGAAGACATACCCCAGCGGATGTGGTGAGGATGAAACACAGCAATGGGGCAGAAGGGTCTCAGCAGAGACCAGGCACAAGGTCAGGCACAGCAAACTGATTTACTGTTCTTAATTCTGTGCCAGCAGGCTTCTCATCGGATTCTTAATGAGCACGCAAAAATGGCATTCTTCATGAAGCATTATTTTCTCATACATCATGAGATGGCAAACTTCAACCTTCCCTTGTGACTATTATGAACACCTGCAAAAGATCCTGGGAACTACATTTACCCATCTCTCTGGAAATATGGTGTATGACGTACCTTATGATGTATGACATCATGTAGCATTTCTAGAGTCTGCACCACTACCTGATTACAGCAGAATTTGTACTCTGCAGGTCCAGGGTACCAATTTCTATCATTTGGGGAAGCAGGACCTCTCTCTTTTCTATCTACATTATTCTAAGAACCCCACACCTTGATTCTCATAGGCACAATGGACTCTATACTGGCCAGAGTGATACCCACAGCTCAGCTGGAATTATCAGAAAAAAGGGGATACATAATCAGGGACCCTTGACTCACCACATAAGGACTCCACCTGAGAACAAAGTCAGAGCCTCACCTACCTGGCTGTAAACCAGAGATGAGGATCCCTCCCCACAGGATCACTGTAAACCCAAGTCCTTAACAATCAGGCCTATCACTGTGGGATTTAAAGGGTTAAGGAATTAATTGGTATAAAATCAGAGCAGACAGAAAAGAAGAAAGGGAGCCAGGGAGAGAGGGAAAAGAAAAACTAGTGATTCAGCCCACTGTCTCAAGGTCACTCTTCACTGAGAATATTCAAGGCCACTCTGGCAGGCCCAGCCCCTCTTCCACCTCGAGACATCTTTCCAGCTTTGTCTCATGTCTCTGCCGATGTGTGCCATATACACGCGCCATCACAGCATGCCCGCCCCCACCAGCCCGATGCACGCCTGGTACTCCTGCACAGGCCCGTCCGTCTGCCAGGACTGCCAGCCTGCACCTTTGCCTACTGGCAACTCATTCTTCAAAAGCCCCCAGAAGCATGGTCTCCAAGCCCTGGTCAGAGTGCCCCCGGGGCCTGTCAGTGGCCCTGAGCATGTGAGCCCCAGGTGGGCACCCGTGCAGCTGATAAACATATTAAGGAATGCTGGCTGAACAAATGAGTCTCAAATAAGTAAGTGAACAAATGATACCATGAAAAAGCCTCCCTCGAATGCTCTCCATGAGGAATTAATCAGTACACAGGAATTGACCTTCCAACAGGCCAAGCCCCCTACCCCACCTCACCCTACCCTCTGAGTCCCCAGCAGTGACTTCCTTTTACTTAGGAATACCACCTCCCTAGTAAAATGAGCCACTTCTATGAGACGCAGGATGTCCTCAGAGACTAAACAAACTTAGAGGGCTACCCCATGTTAACCCAGCTCCCCCAAGGACATTTATAGTTGTTTGCAACATGCCCATGTTCTAACCAAATCCAACTAAAGGCAGTGATTTTCCTAAGCAACAAGTGACACTTCCTGTGTCTCCATAAAAAGATTCCCAGTGGTTGTAGGGCTCTGGTGTAATTGCCGGCTCTGCAGCAGGTAGAACGAGGGGCTCCCGGCTGGAAGTACTGGAAGAGAAGCCACTAACTCAGGCCAGGAGTGCCCTGAACGGCAATTAGAGCGGAACCCATGGTGGGTGGCTTCAGATGTCTGGCCAACACAGCCAGCCTGACCACTGCACACCCAATCCAAAATAGAAAACTGCAGTGGCTTCTGCCATGTGCCAGGCCCCTGGGAAGCCGGACAGAGCACCGCCAATGTCAGCCTACTATCTAGGCATCGATCCAGGCTTTCTTCCGGGGCCCCCTATGCCAAGCCATGATCCCTCTGGGCCCCCAAAGGAGAAGACCTCGCACACTGGCTGGCCTATGCAATCCAGGAGGGAACTCACCCCAAGTCTCTTGTCCTTCAGGAGTTTCCCATAGGCACCAAGTCTGCATTTCCAAGTGCTCAAAATAGAGAAAACCAACTTTTCAAATGACTAGCTCGAGTTCAACAGGAAACCACAACACAAAAATCAGTGATACCCAGTCAACCGGAGGACAGAGCGCTCCCTGGGCTGCCACCACCTGCACACAAAAAGATGAGCACATGTGCCCCAGACACATAGCACACATGCCTCAATGCATAGGACATCCCACTCCACAGACACATGACTGCCCAGGAAACAACAGGTAAACATATGCATAGGACACAATGGCACATTCCCACGTTCAAACAGGTGCCCAAATACCCAGAGGAGTGCACACTAACATTCCAAAACACATGTGCAGATGCACACCCTCACAGAGATGTGCACACACTCACAGAAACGTGCACACACTCAGAGACATGCACACAATCTCAGAGCTGTGCACATACACACAGAGATGTGCACACACCTGCACGGAAGACAAAGACCTTCCCCAGCCGGCAGAAAGGAAACCACTCTTCTTCCAGATAAGCACATAGGGGACCCTGGTCCTCCCCCTGCATAAATCACTGCTCTCCACCCAATGCGAATAACTTGCCTTCCAGCCACTCCCTTCCATTGCTGTCTCCTCTGCTGGGCTCCAAAGCACAAGGGTTGCAGAGAAGTTCCTCAGGCATACCTTGCCCTCCCAGGAAACTCCCCAGGTAATGGTTTCTGAAACCCAAGCAAGGGCTGTGAACAGGAAGGAGCCAAAGAAGTTGGAACTCACCAGGCCGTCACAGTTGCTGAGCGCCACGGAGGAGGCCTCGGTGAGGCCGGCCACTTCCCCGATATAGAGGCAGTTCCCCAGCAGTGGCTCCACGCGGGTGGCGCCCGACTCGCCCTGCCACTCCACCGTGGCCCCGGGCGCCACGAGGCGGGAGTTGGGCCGCAGCCGCAGGTGCAGGTCTCGACCGAAGACCGTGACATTGTAGAAGAGGCGGCCGCCAGAGTCCTCCTCGTTGCCTTCTGGAAAGCTAGGGGTCTGGATGGGGGCGGCCCTGCGAGCGCGCACCCCCTCCCGGCCCGTCGCCGCCGACACCACGTGGGACACCAAGCGGCCCCGGGCGTCAGTGCGCACCGGCACCGCCAGGATGCGCTCCGCTGGGAGCCCCGGGGGCCCGCCTGCAACAGAAAGGGGCGTTAGACCCGCCCAGATGGTGGAGTCGCGGAGCCGGGCCACAGAGCCCAGCATCCCTCCAGACTCCACCGTGAAGGAAAGGGCATCTTCCACCGGCAGCCCTCAGCACTGCCTTGCTCCGCTCAGGCAGCCTCCCAGCTGGGGAGGGCCGTCCACCTCCGGGACCCTGACAGTGGGGCTCTGCTTCCCGCCCCGTTCCGGGCTGGGGCTCCTCAGGCTCCTCACAGTGCCCCGGGGACAGCCCGTCAGAGCGTCCCTCTGGGCCCCCAAAGGCCCAGACCTACCGCCCCTGTCAGAACCTGGGTCTGTTCAAAAACCATTCCCGGCTGGACCCCTACACGTGCGCCTCTACCACTCCGCGGGCCCCAGCCGCCCCAGAGCCCTCACCGCTCGCCTCTGGGGCGGCCAGGACTCGGTTCCCCCGGGCACGGGTAGCCGGTCCTCGGTGACCAGCTCCCGGTGAGACCGCCGCCGGCCGGTTCTCCCCACGCGCCGAGGGCAGGGAGGGATGGAACAGGGTCCCTGATCTCTGGGATCCCCTCCGGGGCGCCACAACCAGTCCTCAGGGCCCAAGGCGGTGCAATGGGCACCCGGCTCCTCCTGAACGCCCTGGACACGAACCCCGGATCCCCGGACCAGCCGCGCTGCGCTCTTCGCCGCGGGCTTTCCCCGCCCTCAGCCCCCACGCTCCGCGTCCCGGGAGCCGCGAGCGCTGCGAGGCTGCCCCGGCCGGAGGAGTCCGGTGCGCCACGAGGCGCCCCCTGCGCGACCAACCCGGCCCCGAAGTTGGCCAACTTGGCCCCGGGCGGGGCGCGCGGAGTTTGCCCAAGTCGGGTGGGACGACAGCTGGGGAGGGGGCGACGGGGCACGCGGGGCGGGGTCTGGCCGGCCCGGGCGGCGGGCCGCGGGGTTCAGCCGCACCTACCCGGGGGGTCGGCGGCCGCGGCGAGCAGGGCGTCCGCAGGCGGCGGCGGCAGGAGCGGCGGCGGCAGCAGCAGCAGCAGCAGCAGCGCGGGGCTGAGCAGGCGGCGAGCGGCTCCCGCCGGCGGATCCATGGCAGCCGGACCGCAGCCGAGGCCCTGCACTCGCAGGCGGCGCGAAAGTTCCCCGCGCGCCGCCCAGCCCACATCTGGGGGCAGCTGGAGCCGCCCGCAGCTGCAGCACCGCAGGGCGCGGGGCGGAGAGGCGAGGCGCGCAGGGGAGGGCGGGGAGCGCGGGGGGGGCGGGGAGAGCGAAGCCGCCCGCGCGAGGGAGACGCGAGGGAGGAGACGGCGGCGAGGGGGAGGGCGGGGACGGCGGGCGCCTCAGCCTGCGGTGACCCGGCTCTTCTTGGCGCGGCCCCGCCGCCTGCTCCCCTCCTCGCGCCGCCGCGCCTCCCCACTAGCGGCGAAGCAGAGACGCGCCGAGGCGGCGGCAGAGAAACGCCACGGGGCGAACCCGGGGAGCCCCGCCGCGCGCCACCCGCTCTCAGCGCACGATCTCGCGGAGCGGCGCCCGCGCCGGGCAGGTCGTCCTCACCCCGAGAGTCCTGGAGTACCGGGTCCCCCTCCACCAGTCCTGGGCTACCAGGGCCCGCCGCACCCTCTCCGTGCGCTCTGGGGCGGGCCCGGGGGGAGGGGGAGCGATCAGCCCGCGAGGTCTGATTGCTTGGTCTCGGGGCCCACGTGGGCCTTTTGCCCAGATGGGGACCCTAGAGGCGGGAAGGTGTTTTTTATAGGATGGTGCTTGCCCTGCAGTGACTACCCCAATGACCAACTTTTGCTCCAAACATCAACAGGGAGGGGCGAGTTTCCCTCAGTCCCCCAGCTTCTCTGCCTGAAGTCCGCTTGCCCCTCCATTGCAGCCTCTTTGCATTGGTTCTCCACCCACCCTTAGACCCAAGCTCCTAGGGCAAAGCCAGGTGCTCGCCCTCACCTCCTCTGAATCCCTTGCGTACATTCTAACCGCCCCCGGGCCCGGCCTGAAACAGCCTCTCTGCACTCTGCCTAGCTTTCCCAACTCCACATCCAAGCCTCTCTCTCCAGACTGGAGCAAGTTTGCTATCAAAGGCCGTCTCCAGCTGGAATCCCTCCTCTCCAGCAAGGTCCTGAGCCTCCCACTGCCTAGAGTCACTATCCTACCAGTTTGCTCTCCCCCAACTCAGTGACCTTCCCTCCACAGGTCCCCTGTCGAGAACACTCCAGGCCCCCCTTCCGCCCCTCTCCAGGCACATGTCTATCAGAACATCTCTGCTCTGACTCCAAACTCCTTCCTCACTTCCCCAGAAGGGTAGACACCTGTCCCTTTGGGGATTTCCTACCAGGCCTATGTGACCAGGGCTTTGGGGTTGACCTTAGTTAGGCAGGGCATGATGACTTAAGTCCCTCCCCGCCAACCAGGAGTACCCCCATCTTATAGGGAAATGCATGACTTACACAGCTTGTTCTAACTCTGATTCCAGATCCTCAGTTCCATAGTTTCAGGACTTGAGTGTGAGGGCACTGCAGCCTTCTTCACCTCGACGCGTTCCTCCATGTCACCTGCGGGTATCCAGGACAGGGTTCACCCCTCATGCATGTTGAACACTTGTCAATGTTTAAAATGACAAAATTTCATGTGAAAATTTAGATTTCTGAATGTTCTTGAGAAATTACAAAGTGTGACCAATTGAGCCCCCTTTTCTGCTTCTCAGCCATTAAAAGGGGTATATGCCCTGCAGTTAGCTATAAGGGACCCTTCCCTCTACCCTCAGCCAATATCCCCTTTTGTAACTTCTGATATAGCCAGTTTCAGAGAAAGAGAAAGGTGAAGGGTGATCAGTGTATAGGAAAGAGAAATGATTCACATGCAGTCATCTGGGAGAACTTCCTGTAGGAGGTGGTGTAGGTTGAAACCTGATGCCTGAAAAAGCCAGGCAGATGAAGTGGGTCCAGCTACGTGCTATATTAGAACCTATGACACCCTTCTACTCATTCCTCCTGTGATTACCCATGTTTTTAGCCTCCTCAAAAGATGAATGAAACCCACCTCACCTACAGCAGCTCACCTTTTGAAGGGACAAGTTCTACTACTTTACTTCCCTACCAGGTTTATGCTTAGAAGCGTTATCCTCCTATCACCATGAGTATTTCTATATACAGTACTTAATCATGTACTTACAATTTTTAAGGGATTTTTAAAATACTACCATAAAAGCCCAATATCTTTCTATAAATCAAAGATAATTACCAAATAAAATGACAACAAAAATTGTGATCCAGTTCTAAAGACTACCATTTGCAAAAGGCACAAAGGCTGAAGGTGATTAGCAGATTTTGCAAAAGTGGTGAGACAGACGAGCAGAAGCAGAGCTCTCTCCCTTGATACAGTAGAAGCCTGGAAAGCCTGCTAGTTGATGATATTTCCTGATGGTTCACATAACTAAATTACCCTGAATGCTCTGGAATACCAACTCAAAGATTTTTTTTGAAAAGACAGTTTGTCTCCCTGACACTTCAGAGTACCACTGACAACTGTTTCTGCCCACATCACCCCCAGACTGCTGGGGCCCCACCCAGAGAGAGATTCCACCAAGAGTCGGAGGCAGGTTACCTCCCAACCTTTAGTCCCCGCAACATCCTACAAGGTTGAGTGGCTAAATCAGGCACACAGCATCAAAATTTATAGTTAAATCCTTTACATGGGCAGCACTTGTAGACAAGACAGGACTTCCTGATCACCTGCCTCCTGCCTTTGATGAGGTCATTGTCCTTGGCAGGCCCTCCCACGCTGCCCGCCACTAGCGGATGAAGGCAGTAAGGTTTCACTGTCCTCTTCCTTTACAAACAAGCTCCCAGGGGTTGAGAGAAGTTGAGAGGCGGGACCTAGATTTTTCCAGTGCCCTGAGAACCTGTGTGAAAACACAAGCTGTGAGACTTAGTGACCTTGTCAAGGAGCCTCAGAAGACAGTACCCTCTGTCCCCTTCCCCTTTCGGCAAACAGGGGTAAAGTAGCCCTGTCCTGTCCAATGCTCTGGCAGAATTCCAACCAGGAGCGGCCTGGTAAGCAATATGTCTGGGGAACACTGAACAGAATGTGGTGGCCCAGCAGCCTTTTGGGAGTTCATGCTGTGTCTTGAACATTCACACTCACACACTCACACTCCCAGGGAGCTGTGTCAGGCATAAGAGGAAATACAGGTGGCATCCAGCAGCAGTGTGCTTTATTGCCCTGCTCCACTCAGGTGTCATGCCACCCCTGGATCAGCTCTGTCTGGAAGTGAAAGATGAAATACTTGAGGTCTGGAGGCTTAGAGATCCAGACTCAGTCAGCACTTCTATGTGGAGACGGATGGGCTCAGGCTCAATCTAAACAGTAAAGACCCAGAGAAGGAGAAAAGCTCAGTGCCCGCTTGCGAGTATCCACTTGCATAATGTTCAGCCTATCAGGAGGCAGCATGACCCAAGAATTCACACAGATGTGTGGGTGTGGCCAGTAGGGATGTACTGGGTCCACTTGGATCAGGATCTAGACCCCTTGGTCCACCTGTGTCTGGTCTGTCACAGAGGCAGGAAGACCATGCGGCCCAGTTCTCCCGCTGGGCCCCTACAGCCTCTGAGTCCCCTGGCTGTAAGTAATACAGCTGCTTAAACCATGAGGCTGGAATGAAAGCTCTCACATTCCGGGTCTGCAGGTCTCGGGATCCAGGGCTCAACCATGGCACTGAGAGTATCACCTTTGCCCCTGACCAAGCAGAAGGATGGCCAAACCACTTGTAGGGGCCCTGCCCTCCCAGAAGTGCTGGCTGACTCTCCTCTGCTCTGTGGGCCAAGGCTGAGTCATGAGCTCATTGCTGAAACAATGAGGATAAGCTCAGTCTGGGGTAGGGTGACATTAGGGTCACCCCAATTCCCCAGCACCTCATTTGCCTTTATTTCCGAATGACAGCACCATACCACCCCAGGCTAACCTCTGCTGGGGAAAGAGCCCATCCTCGTGTGACTTTATGTTCGCACCCCATTCCCAAAGGACATCATTAGGAGGACTGATTTCTTTATACAGTTGACCCTTGAATGAAATGGGTCTGAACTGTGCAAGCCCACTAAGATGTG